CCCTCCAATTAGATCTAACCCATTTCTCTAATTCAGTAAACTCTTTGCTGGGGCATGTTTTTAATGAAGATTGGAGGTCCAAGCTGCCAGATTTGACAACATGATACCTATAGAATTAGGGTCAACCAATATATCATATCATATCTTCTCAAATTGTCTGTCAAAAGAGTAAGCTTTGGACGGTCATATCCCTAGTGTCGAGATATGTTCGGCACGTAATACTAATGGATAATAATGTACAAAATAGGACAAGATTTTTTATTTTCCCTATTTTACCTTTATATGGTTCGACTCATTAACATGTCATTATTGTCAAGGAAAGAAGACAAATATGAGACATGCAATTCAATTCAAACACAATTACTCACTCTCCTTTATATAAAGTTTTAGTAGTCGGATCAACCATACAGATTTAGCGATTGTCTAATCCCACTTCTTGACAAAAAATTAAAAAAATCGATTTCTTGTGAACAAAAAGTGGGCCACTCAATTAATTAAATGAACTTACTTGGCAGATAGCTTATGACTCCAAGGACAACTTTTCTCCAAATTCATCGACCATAAGTTGGTCAAAATATCTTTTTGCCCTTGAACTACGTTGAAGTGGGAACATATATTCAGAGAAACAACTACAAGGTACAAGGTGAAATTGGTAATTGACGATCACGTGAAGAATTGCTTGTTAGTGTCCTGCAATGTTCTGAATGTTGGACATCATTTTTTAATTCAAATTTTCGCTTGAAAACTAATCTTATACTAATCTCAACCAAACATGGGCTTTACAAGTTTGAGACACAACTTCACACTCTACTCTGGTCTGGACACAATAATAACAAACTAAGATTTAGTCCCAATAAATTTAAGTTCAACTATATGAATTACATTTGTTTAGATACTCCAACGAAATGTGTACTAAAATCCATACCCTACGTTGGCTGCAAAGTTTGATTGGGACAACAATGTCAATTTAATTTATTGGTCTAACTTGGTGGATAGACCGATGATTAAGAATTATCACATTGTTAGGTATAATTGAAATTAAAAGGATTTGTTTGTTTTGCATCATACAAGAAAAATCAACACTCTCCGAATGTCTCCTAAATAATTTGCATTTTGAGAGAGACATTTCTAATTTCACTTTTTGACGCAGAACGGAAATAAAAGATTTACCTGCGTAAAACTTGAAAATAAAAAATTGGAATTCTCCAAGAACGAAACTTGTATGCAATCAATAATAATGCCGAAAACGTTCAAAAAGCCTTTAAATAGGCGTTACAAGAGATCCTAAAAATATAGAATATTAAAACATTTCAAAAATAGCGAAAATCTAAAACTGAAAATATGGAAATT